CTAGCCATTTTCTCCCTGCACCCTCACATTGCCTTTCCTGCATGTGTGCTCTTAGAGAGGATATCTCGAGTCTCTTCCTCTCTCTACGAGGGCATTTTCTATAATGAAAGCCCTGCCCTCATGACCTAATGTAACCCTAATTACCCCCGAGGGGTTTTCTGTCTTCAAATATCATTGCATTGGGGATTAAAGTCTCAACATATGAACTTTGGAGGAGCACCCACATTCAATTAATAGTAGCTATATTATCATACTTAATTAAATATTAGAAAACTGAAACATTAACCCATTCATTAACTCATCCTTAGTCCCATAGTTAGCAAGCAAAGGAGCTGGGTTTTGAATTCAGACATGTCTAATTTATAAACAATAGTCTTTCTTGTTTTATGTATGTTTAACATACTCTGTTGCTTGAAAGAAAGCTTCAGTGAGGGGTATTCTAGCACTAGACCTGATCCCTTGGTGTTCTATCCCCCCCCCCCATGGGGAATGGATAGGAATTAGCCTTCTGATCTGATTTGAGTGGTTTTACCTGTCTTCTCTGTAAATGACTCGAAGGGTATATGGTATATCTCTCTGCGTATGTGTAAAATGCTCATTTCTTATGAAAGCTCCCTAACTACTCAATCATTGAACTCTCCTCCACAACCCACTTTAATTTTTTTATTTGATTTTTTTATTATTATTATTTTTTTTTTTGGAGAGGTTTTTGCTACAGGGCGCGTGCACTCACCAGTCAGACAGAGAGACAGAAAGTGAGAAATCACCCCCCAGGGGGGATGGTCACACCGCAATCCCTTCTCCTCCATTCTCCTCTCAGGATCTTGGGCACACACGCACATGCGCCCGGCGTGAGTTTTAAGCCACTGGGTCCAGGATGTGAACTGCGGTCGACTACGTGGGAGTCCAGCGACATAGCCATTACGCTAACTGCTGCACAACCCACTTTATAACACTATACTCATATTAAGTTTTTACCCTCTTGGGCGCGGGGCGCGCCCGGCGGAAGCCGGCGCGGGACGCGGGAGAGCCCATGCCCCCGGAGCGGCGGCGCTCGCCAGCGGAGGGAGGGGCCCGCCGAAGGAG